GAAGGACACTGAGGTCACTGAGGCAGATGAAGTCATCCTTGGAAATGAAAATGGCCCAAAATGGCGTCTTCAAGGTCCGCACTGTGAAGCGGAGACCTCCGTCTCAGCAATGGAATGCCACAGGAGTGTCGAAAATGTTGTCAGTGCCATGGCAGCCTAAAGGTGATGGAGTGGACTCGACTGCGCTCGTAATGCCACCTGATCTTGGAGTGAAAGGCAGAGTGAAGCCTCCTCCGGGATTGTCACGCGTCGAGGAAGATGAAGAATGGTGCCTGGGCAGAGTGAAAGCCTGACTGTTCAAGATCTCTTGGACAATGATGGCTCTGACCGAGCACCTGCGGAGAGTGTTCATGAACCTCCTGAGACTGGAGAGAATGCATCAAAGAAAGCGAGGATTGATCCAGATGCTCCAGCGAATGAGCCTGTGAGCAAGCAAATGAGGATTTCTGCAGTGCATCATGTCATTGCAGGAGTGATTCCCGCTTGCAAATGGCTTGCTTCGATTGTTGGAGTTGATGAAGTGGTTGGCAAGGATGGAACCAAGATCGAAGTTGATGTGAGTGCGGAGGAAGGAGAGCTTGATCAGGAAATGAGATTAGCAGAACCACTGCTCTGGGAGAGTGAGTTCCCACCCGAAGTTGAGAAGAAAGGAATGATCAAGGAGATGAGTTCGATGAAGGAATTTGATGTGTATGATGAGGTGATGGTGAAGGATTGTACTGAGGAGCAGGTCAGTGAGGCCCTCGACTGCAGATGGGTCAAGGTCTGGAAGAATGAGACAGACCTGCGATGCAGAGTGGTTGTGAGAGGTTGTTTCCAGAATGTTCAAAAAAAACTGAAGAAGACAACCTGTTTGCGTCGACACCTTCACTGGTGACAATGAGATTGTTGCTTTGCATGGCACTTGCTCGAAACTGGGGAATTACCCTGGGAGATGCGAGCACTGATGCAGCAATGTCAGGTGAAGTGTTTGTTTGGCCGCCAAAGGAATTTTATCCGAACGGTGACTGTCTCTGGAAGTTGAAGAAGGCTACGTATGGATTGAGACAGGCCCCGAAACTGTGGCAGGAACACTTCGCTGAGGTAATGATTCAGGAGATGCAAGAGTGACCCGAATCTCTATTGCCACGAATCCGGAAGATTGTATGTGCTTGCATATGTCCATGATCTGTTGGTCGTAGTAACTGACGAAATGCGCAAGGACTTTATGTCCAGACTGTCAGAAGAGGTGGCAAGCTTGTGCCAGGGACTGAGCACACCTTTCTGGGCAGAAGATAGCGACACAATGGTGATTCGATTGATGTTTTGTGTTTGCATGTCACAGAATTATATTGACTCGATCTTGGATCTGTATGGAATGCAGAATGCCAAGCCAGTGGCGACGACTGGCTCTGTGACGCTTGCCAAGATTGTTTCGGACACACCGCTGAGTCCTGAAGAACATTCGTTGTACAGGACTGCAGTTGGTAAACTGCTTTGGTTGGCACTGATCAGAGGTGACATTGCTTCGAGTCGGGATGTGACTGCCCCGACAATGCAGAGTGTCGCTAAGCTTAAGCATCTGTTGAGATACCTGATTGGTACCAAAATGTGTGCCTTGAGACTGCGTCCATCGTACCAGCCGTCTGATGGCAACTGTTCTTTGGATGTGAATGTCTATGTGGATTCTGACTGGGCTGGCTGCTCGAAAACGAGAAAGTCCACCAGTGGATCTACTGTGAATGTCCTTGGGTGCAACATGGTCAGCACTGCTAGGACACAAGGTACCTTGGCATTGTCTTCCGGTGAAGCGGAATTGTATGCGATTGGCCAAGGAGTGTCTGAAGCACTGTTCCTTCGGTCAATGTTGCTTGAGTCTGGGCTGGCAAAGAAGGTTAGTGTGATTGCCCACACTGACTCCACTGCCGGCAAGTCAATGGCTAGCCGCTTTGGCACTGGAAAGAAAACGAAGCATGTGGAACTGCGGTTCCTCTATGTGCAGAATTTGGTGCAAATGGGTTTGCTTCGCATGGCTAAGATTGAGGGAGTGCGGAACCCCGCTGATCTAATGACCAAGTATGTTGCCAGTGATGTGTTGCAACGATTGATTGCCCACTTGGGAGTGGTTTCCAATTGGTTCAAAGGGAATGCGCCCTCTGATGCAAATGATGCTGATGATCACGTCGCCGCCATGAATGCTCAATGCATGCCCCGCCCGCCCACCCGTGCGCGTTTCTCTCCTTACTGCGCGTGCGTGCACTCCAATGCGCACACTGCGCGCAAATGCTCTTGCGGACGACGGTGTGGACTGAAGTCCGCGTCGAGGGACTGAATGCATGAGCTTCCGATTGCAGCTGAATGCAGTGTGCATGTCCTTGAGTGAGTGAATGCAACATGTCAATGCTGTCTTGTGCTGTCTTGTCTAATGTAAAGTGAAGCCGACTGCTTGTCATGACTGCATGTGCACTGTTGGTTTCCCTGAAAAGCCCAAAACCAAAGAAAGAGAGAGTGAGAGGATGAGAGAGAATTTTCCGACTCGAAATGATTTCTCCGATTGTCTGATCTTCCGATCTCGAATGAGATTGGATCCCTTTTGCAGAAATGCAGAAACTAGCCTAAATGTGAGTTTTCAGGTCCTGATGCAAGGGATTGTCTGAGACAACTGCCTTGCTGAGTGAACAATGTGTTTCCCCGGAATGTTTTCTCTGATTGTTTCCTTAGTGCGACTGTAGAGCATCAACGGCCAGGTTCCCATTCTGACTTTCATTGGGACCATCAGTCCCAATCTCTGCATTCACAATCAAGACACCGGCGGTGTCCGGGGTCACTCGGGTGAGGGTAGTCGGGCGGACAAAACTCTCGCCAGTCGCCAGTCGCGCAAGGTCAGTGCGACCTTCAGGCAACTTCTCAGTCGGATGGAGCGAGACCAGTGTGGCCTGCCCTCCTTCATTCTTCACTTCTTCAACAGTTTGGCCAGTCAGGACGGCCAGATCTGCAGCCAATTGCTCTCCAGTGATATTCTCATACTGGACTTCCGGAACAGTCGGCAACGAAGGAGCGGCCATTGCTACAGTCTAGCAAAGATGCAGTCACGGAGGGCACTCAGGACACGCGATTGGCATCCGACCTCGGCCTTCCACTGCCGCGAGTGTTGCCGCCACTGCCAGCACGGCGACTGGCAAAGGTGTTGGCAAGAATGGCACACCTGCCGAGGCACTGCATCTGATGAATGAGAAGCTGGTGCATCACAGACTGTCCAGGACTGGCCGTCAACCTGGAAGTGTCTGCGGCACTGACCCGAATGGACTTTGGGAAAGATGTCACAAGGATTTGGCAGCGATTGGACGAGTTTGTCACGTCGGACTGGCTGAAGCTGTCTACTGCCGCGAGTGGAATGAGGATTGGGCCCCGCTACTGTCCTGCATGATCCCTGGAACAACGAGTGGAGGATTGGCAGGATGCAGATTTGAGTATCCAGATGAGCACTCTTATGGTCCAATGTCGAGCTTGCGGTTGAGAATGAACTCCTTGGGCATCGAGACCGTGCAGAATGGTCCGAATGATTGCATGGTGGACACCAAGGGGAACTGGCACCTCGAATACAGCCCCGATGCCAAGGAGAATGTCACGCATGATCTGGTGAATGTGTATGATTGGGTGATGCTTCCCGCAAGTGTGGGAGAGAAGTTCTACCAGAATGGTGCGATTGACCTTTCGAAATTCCCGTGCCACCAGCTGAATGGCAGTTTCAATGCCTTGTCAGCAATGCGAAAGACTGTGCAATGGTTTTGCCAAGACTGCTTTGAGGAGAATGCCGATCATGAAGGGATTGTCTTCGTGCTTCGCAGCAGGAGAAACATGGAGGCTCACCGTCAATGGGCCGAAGCCTCCAATGGCAAAATGAAGCTGGACAATTACTTCAATCGGCAGTTCACTGACCACATCTCGACCCAGAATGGCGTCCGGACACCACTGCTCATGAGGTCCCCACTGGTGTGGCGAATGTGCCGAGGAAGTGGATCTGGAATGTGCTAGAGGCATCCTTGAAGAGTATGGGCATCATCAGAATGCCCCTGAATGATCCAATGATGCTCACCACCAATGGCCCGCCTCTCCTCTGCCTTGGAGAAATGGCAAAATGGAATCGACTTGCCACCTTGAAGCACAGTGGCTTGGTCGAATGGCGACTGGTGGGACACACAATGGTCCCTGTACAGCAGGCCTTTGGAGGTGGCCTGGATCACGACTGTTCCACCTGGGATGAGCTCTATGGAGATGAAGATGATGAGAATGCGAATGCCTGGAATGGACCCGCCTCCTCGTCGACCGCCTCCAAGAAGCGGAATGCAGAGAGTGCATTCCAAGGCCCGGCGACTGTTCTTTCCCAGGTCGCGAAGGCGAATCCTGGAGCAGAAGTGATTCTCAGGATGAATGCCAAGGGCAAGTGATCGTACTGAGCCGACTGTTTAATTTAGGAGTGCCCGATCGAATGCCGCATGTTTTGGAAATGTAATGTCATTGTTGAAATGTTGAATGGGTTTCTTCAGCGGATTGCCGAGAATGAAGTTCTTGGATTCAACTATGTACAGAGCAGGACCCGACTGTGAGCACATCGACTGTACAGTGCAGTGTGCCTCCATCTTTTGCAAGTGACTCGAATGTCTACTGTGTTCGAGCAACAGTCCTGAATGAGAGCAATGCGGTGCAATTGTTTTAGTTCGTTTTCTTTCTCGTCGTGAATGTTGATCCCAATGCCCGCTCTTCTTGTACGGAATGCCATGATGCCGAATGGCTCAAGACTGGACAACTGCTTGATCGCACAAAGGAAAGTGTCTTGTTGATTGTGAGTGATTGGGGAACATACTGTTCAAGTCTAGAGTGATCCCAACTGGTAGGATTGTATAGTGGAATTTTGCACCACCACCACCACCACCAATGACAACCACAATGAAGGGACGACAACAACAAAAACAGCCAGCGCAAGGGCAACGCAGGATCTCTCGATGCTCCAGGTCCCCGGCGGCGCAGCTGGCGGCACTGCCGATGCCTGCCGAGAGTGAGACGCTTCCCGACAAGTTTCGGCAAGAGATGGCAAGAGGCTGAAAGCACCTGGAAAGATGCATTTGCGAAAAGGTCGCCGCCCTGCAACTGCTTGGGTCTGTGCTGCATGTGACTGGAAATCCCGACCTGCGGGGCTGTGAGCGCCGCTGGCTGGAGCGACGCTGGCTGGGGCGCCGCTGGCTGGGGCGCCGCCGTTCCTCTGCGATGCGCGCATGGAACACAAATTCACACAGGATCTCTTCCGCACTGGCGGCGTCCTACGAAGTCTCCGAAGCCATCGCCGCCCGCGGCACCTGCCGAAGCACCGGCGCCAAAGTCGGCGAAGCCGCCACCCTCGAAAGCGCCTGCAAAAGTATTGAATTTCTCGTCTCTGTTCTCCCTTGGGGAGCGCTTAAAAGAGGGGCGCGGACCCCATCCCTGCGCAGCGGCAGTCGCAGGCGGCTCTGCGGGGTCGCCCATGTCTAGCAGGTTCGCCTGAAGACGACGCACGAGGTCTGTGAGAATTGTGGGATATTGCAACGAGTGGAAGAATTAAGCCGCAGCGATTCCCGCCGCAGCGGAAGCACTGAATGACAGCGTAACCGGTCGATTACAAAGGCATACAAAAGGCTCGTTGACGTTGCCGAATCTGGCCCGTCATTTTGCCGCTTCTGGCGAAACCGCTGGAGCCACCGACTTGAGAGCTATGCGGCTCGCGTTCCTTGAACTTGCCAGCGTTGTGCATTGCTGCTCGTTGGGCAGCTCTTCGCTTGACAGTGTATCAACACGACGATGTTACGCAAAGCAGAGAAGGGAATCTCCTGCCTTGCGCGATGCACGTTACTTTTGAAATCTGCGGAAGAGGTTCCGATTTTTCTTGCGGAAATTAGAAGCAGCCACATTCAGCTCACATTATCCTGAACGTGGGTCTGTGCCTGTCAACGCTTCATGCGCTCTTTCAGTGAAAGAGCCTGGCCATTTGCTGTACTGCTTTGGGGCCTCATTGCATGGGCCGGAGCGGTCCGTTTCAGCAAACTTGGCAGTAAATGTGCAGCAAACATATGCATGCTTCGGTGAGGGTCTGATGGCCAGATTCAGTTCGGCCATCGACCATAGCTGGCTTGGGCACTTGTTGTTCGTACTGAGTGTTAACCCTGCTCGACTTGCCTGGAGAGCCACGGACTCTGCAAGAGTCGGCTTGGTGCATTGCAAAGGAGGGAAGGAGCGAACATTACCTTGGCAGTCCTGCGGAGCAGGCTTCTCGACCCGGTCTCGTTCATCCCGGTCACGGTCATCCCGATCCTGTAGACTGACACGGAGAGACGATGAGTTAAGGCTGGTCCCTTGGAGAACTGCGAGGATTCGATTAGTGTCCAAGAAACGCCAAGCAAAATGTAGACTCTGCAGACGAGAGTCTCGTCTGGACTCCCGACGATCGTCCTCGTCGTAACTGCGGCGGCCTTACTTTGGAGGCCAGAGCAGCCACGAACAAACGAAAGGCTGTGTTGCAATGAGACCGATGGGCCCCGACGTCCGTCACGGTCTCGCCTTCTACTGGTCAATGCACAGGAACATGCAACACCTCTAAAGTTTTTATTCGTGATTTGCCGTTTCTGATCAGCCTGTCATCGTAGTCGTAGTCCCGACGACGACCTTTGACTTGTGGCGTTGAAGCGTTGCACTACGTTGCATGGAAGTCATGGGCACAGCAGGGCAGGACTCTCAGCTCCCCTGCCATCTCGGTCTCGATCATCCCGCGAATCCCGCTCATCTCGACGCCGATCGTCCTGTGACGCTCTCCGAGCAGAACGTCCGAGCTGCTCCTGGAAGGATCCTCTCGGCGGTCGTAGTCGCGGTCCCGGTGGTCGCGGTCGTCTCTGCCTGGCACAGGAAAGAGCGAAAGAGGAGGTGATGCCCTGAAGGCCGTGTTTCGTCTATGTGTCGCCAGTTTCCCCTAAGGTGAGGCACCCTCGGCCCCTACCTCCCCTTCCAGGTAAACAATTTCACATTTTGGGCCCTACAATAACCAAAGGGGCAATGAATGGCCTGATGCTTGAATGGTTTGGTGGCTTTTCTGATTGGTAGGGAGGTTCCAGTTTGGTGCCAGGCATTTTGTGTGTCCGGGTATATTTCACATGATTGCAAATCCTGGATCGGTAATCCAGGGTTTTGGGTTCCAAGTCCAAGTGTTGAGGGGGGAGGTGGAGGGGGCATTGCCCGGTGGCACAGGAAACCTGACCGACTTGCGACTTATGTGTTTGAAGCTAAGCCATATGTCGTCAGCACCAAACGGACATTAGAATGAACTTCGGAAGAATGAAAGGAGCCGTAGTGGAGCTTACAGCGAGGGAATTCGAGGCATAGATGATCCTGCATGATTTAGCAGGGATTTACGCGGCTCCCTCGTGGCATGGCACGGCATCCGTTTGAAGGCATAACACGTTCTCCCGGTACTACGGCACGGGTTCAAAGCGCCATGATGCATGGTACAATCTTACTGGTTACAGGGATACAACCGTCTGAACGTTGTAGTAGATTGGATTTGCAAGAGCACGGGACATGTACAGATAAGAACACAAATAAACGGATAAACGGATATGATCCAGCAACTTGCTTGCTCAATGTTACAGGCCACAAAATCTCACAAAGCGCTACCTTACGCAGCCCTGGGTCCACAAAGGCGTGCGAGTGCTCCAGCTCCCGACCACCACCATTGCTGCCATGCTGCGCCGACCGTCCCGATCGTCTCTGTCTCGATCATCACGGTCGTATCTGCGGTCGCGCCTCAGCTGCCAGCGTGGTGATGCTTCTTCTGCTAGCGATGTGACCAAATGGAGCGAACTCGACTGCCGAAAGGGATCAGAACAGCCTCAAGCCAAGCAGCTCATCCCGCTCGTCCTCCCGTCTCCGCCTCGCTTCGTCGAACTTCTTGTTCTCAACGTACGGGTCGTACCTGGGCTGGAAATCCTTGCGAAGCCGTCCAAAGCTTGCCGGCATCCGAGTCGCAAGCGAACTACCACCATAGCCGCCCCTCAGTGAGCATTTGCACCGGTGCTGCGATGCCCTCTGCCACTGCATCATTGCGAACTGGGGATTGCACCCACTACTGCCACCGCCACTACCACCATAGCTGCCACCACCGCTACCACCGTAGCTACCACCGTAGCTGCCACCGCTGCTGCCACCGTAGCTCCCACCACCTCCGCCGTAGTTGCTGCTACCTCCACCTCCACCATATCCACCGCCGTAGCTGCTGCTGTCAACAGAGGACCTTGTTTAGACAGCACGGCTGGTTTCTTGCCGAAATTCCGCACTCCTGGGGCCGGCGCATGCCCATGAACTTCTCCCGGTGGGTGCGGGCCTGCAGCCACGCTGAGCTCACGTGAGCGCCGTCGCATCCCCTCCAACGGCCTTCTCCCGCTCCGACCGCAGCAACTCGTTATCCTTCAGCTCTCTGTTGCGGAATGCGACATGCACACACCATTTCACACAAACACAGTCTTTGAGGTGGCGGCACTGATGAGCTCCAAGATGGCTTTGGCCTGTCGCCGCGGGGGAGTGTTTCAATTCAAACCACCGTTCGGATCGTGCCTTCTCGCGAACTGCAGCGCCCTTGTCTTTGCCTGGGGCAGTGGGGCCATGCGGTGACCCGAGGGTGCCAGAGAGAAGCCCCTCCAAGGCCGAGGAGCCATCTTCCGAGTAGCTGAAGTCCATGAGCGGACGGACCTGTCACGGCAGAAAACTTCTCGGAGAAGTGCCAGGTCTGCTCGTCTGCTCGTCACCTTGTACTGGTCACGGCGAATCTCGTCGATGATTCGCTCGCTGCCGTTTTTGACCAAAAACTCCACCAGGTTCAATGATTTCAAGACCCGCCGCCATCTGGACTTTGCTTCCTGGACAGAAGCTCTCACTCTCTCTCTCCCCTTCCGAGCCAAGGCACACAGGCACACGTCTCGGCCAGCACCTGCAAACCAGCCCAAATCTCGGTGATAATGCTCTGGTACCTTGGATCCAACTCTTGCGACTTGCGGGAAGCCAAGACTGCTGTGCGCGAGCGAGGCCTCTCAAAGAGTGCCAAGACCCCTAAACACTCCCCGCGGTTTCTGGGCACGTCGGGACGGCACTCGGTGGAACAGTACGGAGATGACAGTTTCATGTCAGACACGGGTGATCACGGGTGGGATTCAAACACCCAGCGTCTTCGTCGTCCTGACATTTCGGCCGACTGCAGTAAATAAGGGTAGAAGTGGCCGGCAGTGGTACTATTATACAAGTACTGCTACGTTTCCGCATCTGGCTCTGCCCTTCGTGCTTTGAGACGCCACGGTGGTCCTTCGTGAGAGGACCTCGAGCACGGGCTCCTTTCGACTTGAGCCCTGTCGCCGGTGTTGAGAAACGTCTGCCGGCTGTTCTGGGTTCTGCTTCGCTGACACCACTGCCAGTGGGAACATCTGTCCACCTACCCCTCAGATCCACACTCCTGGAAATCGAAGGATGCCCGTGCGATGTCATGGAGCCTGGCGCAAAGCGACATACCACGACTTGGAAGTCCTGCCACCATGTCCAGGACGCGGACTGGCTGTTCGGCACACCCCAATTCTGATTGGAAGTGGCCTTGCCAGCACATTTTCAAGGGAGATGTCAGGCTGTGAGCGTTCTGATCAGGCCTCTCTGAGGTTCTTTTCCAGCGGTGTTTCACGTTGCGTCACCCGGTTCCTTGGATCTCTCTCGTACCATCGTCCTTGAGGCCCAAACAAAACCATGGCAAGTCCTGAGGCCTCTGGCGCTGCCTTCTTGACCGAGCCCAGGCCCGAGGAGAGGACCTGAAGCGCCATCGCCTCCGAGAATTCCGAAGAGAGGCACACAAGCACACAAGCACGCACTCGCAAAGTCGCGTCTCGACGCCATGGCATCCAACCCCCTTGGCGAGAGCCCTCATCGATAACCTGTCTCATGCCTGTAAAGGTGCAAATCGCTGCGAGTCCGCCACTGGGTCGCTTCTGAACGCCGCAAACCCACACACAAAGCTCACGCCCCGAGGGCCCGAAGCACCAGAGCGAGGTCCTCCTGATCTGATGCAGAGCCGGGCTGATGAACAAGAGACCAAAGGTGGAAGGGCTACAAGCGGAAAAGTAGCAAGCAAAAGACCTGGAAGAATCGAAAAAACATACGCCGCAACGCGGATACAACCATGTGTGCTGGTGTACAAGTTGATGTGCTAATAATTAGAGAGCAGTGTGTCTACATAAATTGCGCTTCCGCCTACATCTTGGACTCGTGGGGTGGTCTACCTGCTGAGGCCCGGATTCAGTTGGTGCCGTTAGCACTGCCGAGGCTGCAGAGCGGCGTCTGCCGGGCGTACGCTCGGCGGCTGAGTTCTCGCGGCCCGCTACGCCTTCCTCTGCCCCTCTGGCAGAGGAAGCTCTCTTGCTCGCTCTCTCGCTCTCTCTCCGTCTCCGGCCTGCCAGGGCAGCGATGACCGCGCCCTGCGCTGGGCTGCCGGAGCCGACAGAGCAGCCGGAGTCGCAGAAACGGCTTCTGTGTTCACAGGGCAGTGGTACCACGCTTAACTTGCAATCATGTTACCATGATGATCTTCACTGATTCCTCAGCTCCAGCAATTCCGAATGTAAGTTAAAATCGCCCAGAGTCTGGGGCGTCTTCGACGCCCTCCCGA